AGTGTGGCCTAAATAAGCTAAACCCCCCTCCCTTACCTTATTTAGGCCATATGTGGCCCAAATAAGCACTCCCCATATATATATATGAAGGGCACAAGGGAAAAACCAGCAACGCCAGGTATTTGCAATTCTGAGATAATAGAAAAACAAACTTTAAAGACTTAGATCTTTATCTCTTTTTCTGTCACAACGATCTCTCCATTGTTTTTTTTATTTTTTTATTTTTTTGGGGAAAAATGCTGTTTGTATGCCCCCATGAACACAATTTAGACCATTTAGGAGGCAAGATTCAACCCCATCTCTGAGGTAAAATCTGGGTAGAGACAGAAACAACATCCTCGCAGCAAGATCCGAGTTACTCAATGAAAATTCTCCCCACACTGGAATTGAGCTCAAGTCTTCTGTGCGCAACAGTGAAGATGAACCCAACCCCTCCACCACACTCTTCATAATAATAATAATAGATAGCATTTGTATAGCACAAATACCCGCGCAACGGCAAGCTCTATGCGCTTCACAATCTATACTATTACCCCAGCAGACCTGAGAGCATTCTGAAAAAAACTTTATTTCCTGGAAAGCATACAGTGCAAGTAGCCGTTTATAGGCGCTAAGACACTAACATACTGACAAGATGTTTCGCTGTCTATGGCCGGGTACCCATTCCCACCTGGGTGAAGTGAGGAAAATTCTTGAAAAGTAACAGTAAAGTGTCTTTTCCAAGGACACAATGTCGGGCCTGCGGCTCGAACCCCTGAACCTCACGATTACTGGTCTTTTGTCCTTCAGCGCACCAAATCTGTCCCCGGGGTTTTATGCATCCTGCATAATTTAGCAAAATTTGATCATTTTAAAATTATTTTCTTTTATCATTCTTTGTTAAAAATAACAGAATTGCATAATTTCACATTTTTGGGGTCAGTTTGCATATTTTCATTTTTTTTGTGTGCATAAAACCACGGGGAAGTCAAATGCATGCCTCAGTGCCCTGGGTTGTGGTGAGTTTAGCACACCAATGAAACTGTGTTATAAATACAGGCAGCTGAGGAGACCGGGGCTCAGAGTGCTAAACACATGAAAGCGGGTGGTAGGCGGGTGCTCTGGTGCGGTTTGCTTCTTCTTTCCTCGTATCAAACATTTATCGTCCTTATCTCCCCTTCTTCATTTTTATGTGTGTTAAGTACTCTCTTGTAACACCTCTAATCTTCTGGTGGTCATATGATCTTATGCAGTTGCGAGCGCCGTAAAACCTCTACTAAAACTAAACACACACCAAAAGAAAAAGGAAGAGGTGTCTACTCTTAATCACTTAAAATCAAAAGTAAAAATAAATATTTATTGCAAATTCTGTCAGAAGTATAATCATTATTCACAGAAGTATAATCATTATTCACATAGGTATTGCCTCCATGCATAATATACATAATATATAGAGCACTAGATATAAAAATGCCCTACAATTCAAAATCTATAGTACTGAGGATGCTGTACAAAACTAAATATGAATTAATCTATGAAAATACCAAATAATAAGTTACACTGCGTGAGAAACAAGCGTGGGACATTTGCTAGTGGACCTCAATGAATAGGTCCCTACCACAAGGCAATACTGCATGTACCAGGTATGACAAATTTGTGCATTATCAAATCAAAATTCATCAACACACACACTCACACAGACAGACACACACACCCACACCCACACAGACACACACACACACCCACAAACAGACAGACACACAGACCCACACCCACACACACAGACAGACACACACACACATACACAAACAAACAGAAGCAGCTATTTATTCATCTCAAAAACCACCCTGGAAACAACTCCAAACATGTGCCTCTCCTCGCGATGGCCATCGCCACTGCATAAGGTCATATGAGCGCCAAGGGGTGGATGTCAACAGGGAAGTCCTTAAAGGCAGACTTCATCTGCTCACCTCTCAAGGTTCAACGGCACAAAGTCTGCTTCGACTTGAGTTCGACTATCAAGGCACCCCAGGAATAGCGAGTCACAAGAGTGTGACAAACGTAAAAAAGAAGTAGAGGAAAATGACGATAGTAAGGATCAGGAAAGAAAAAGCAGCAGTGCCCTGTTGCAGGTCTGGCACAGTTATGAGCGTGACATTGATGAATCAGCCCATTTACAGTTACAATTCTACTGTGCATAAGAACTCGAGATGTTAATGTCCCCCCCCCCCCCCCCCCTTAGGGAGTGGCCTAGAGACACTTCAGTCAGTAGCACCACACCGGGGGGTTGACGTATGAAGGAGTCATAACTCAGCAGCCAATTTGTGTGTCTCAGCAGCCAATTTGTGTGTGTGAGCACACCTTAACAAGCATAAATTCAGACATATGCACACACGCACGAATGCAAACACGCACATG